TTAATCTATATAATAATAATATACAAATACAATTAATTAATATGTATGCTTATAAGCATAGAATAATAATAATAATAATAATATAATAATTAGCATTTATTACCTAAATTCCACTATGCCAGTGGGCACTAGTAACTAGTTTCCCGGGTTTGATTGTCATTTCAGCTGCAACCGTGTAGGTACCTTGTATTAGCACTGAGCACTAGTTAAGAGACAACGGAGGCATCAGTCGATGGATGGCGGTTTAACCAATAACGGTTAATATCGTAATAACGGTATACATGAAATGGTAATTTTAAGCGCAATTGGTAAACTCCCGGACATGGTTCGACGACCGCCTTCGTCTACCGACTTATGGGGCTTTCACGGGACAAGCCACCAAATGCGACAATCCAAAGTTCCCCCATTGGTCCTAGGAGAGAGTGGCTTTACGACTAATACTGGGACGCGTGTCACGCTAACGGTATGAACTTTCGCCTGTATACCCCCAGAGGGCTGGTGGTACCACGAAAAGGGTCGGTGCCCCTTCTCGCGACCGTGTCCGAGACCAGGAACCGCTGGTTTTTGACCACGGATCATTTGCTTACACGAGCTACCTGACTTGACCGAAGTCAAGGGAATCGGGAGTCCACCTATACGCAACTTGGAGACGCGATATATTCCGTAGCTACGGATACTATACTGACACAGCTAAAGGCGAGCTGTGGTTTCGTTAGACTATGCCAGTGGGCAGTGTTGTGTAAATTAGGCAAAATATGTACGTCGTACGATATACATGTAACATGGACTCAACACAGTGGCTATGTTTACTTATTTTAACAAATTAACTATTTTTCAAACATTGACGAAACTTCTGCAGTTATTTTTTCCGAGATGTTCGATCTTGTTTATAGTTAAAATAACTTCTGTCTTTGAGCAACTTGAAGATATTTTAATAATATATTAATATGTTCATGCGTGATGATACTACCTCGGCGTGACTGAATCAAAGTCAGCGAAGACGTTAGATATCTAATACGAGCGGCCGATGGTGCCTGTGGTGAACTACCCAAACTCACGCTTCATCTTTCAGTCTGGGAAGCTTACGTTTACCATGATATTTTTATAACACTTTCGAGGATGAAAATTATAATTATAGGAAACTGGAACCAAGAATGAAAGAACCGACACTTGAACTGGTTTCAGAATTAACTCAGAAAAGACTGGAACTTTTTAACACATGGATAGAAAAATCATCACGGTATTAATAAAATTATAAAGTGAACACAATATAACTATTCGAACGAAAAGTAATTTTTAAGTAAGAAAACTATTGCACGTGTTTTTTAATATTTAGGTAGGTAGGTATTATATGTGTGAGTATTTTTCAAACGATCCCACGCTGTTGGTAAAATAAATAGGTATTACCGTATTTATTTAGACATAGATAATATTATTAATTATTATTTATTTTTAAAGGACGAAACAAATTTTCTGGATTACAAGTTCGTACCATCTATTGAAAGTGTCACTGTCAGTTATCCATTTTTACCGGCTCATCCCGAACAATTAGTCAACGATACACCTCCAGTACCCGTAATTATTGGACTTAACGATATGGAAGGAATAATAGCATTACATGGTAAATATATTTTTAATTAAATTATAGGTATTAATAATAATATAAGTACTTACCTAATATTATTTAATTATATTTCATCTGAGAACATACTCAATATATATTTTCTAAAATAACTAAAAATATTAGTTATTAGTGTGTAGTTATACCAAACATAATTCTTGTATAATAACGCAATGCAATGCAATCAAAATATATACAAGTACCTACAAAAATAAACAAAAATAATTCATATAATAATCACATAACTCATACGAAGCGATAAGTTCTTCAAGAGTGATAATATTAAAAAAAAAAAAAAGTACTTATTTCAAAATATATTTTATAGATAACAGTACTATTATACACTTTAACACGTATTATATTGCGATTGAGAGTTAATGAAAAAAAGTGACTGTTTTTAATTTTTACTAGTTTAAATAATATAAGTAACTAATATTATTTATTTATATTTCATCTGAGAACATACTCAATATACATTTTTTAAATAACTAAAAATATTAGTTATGAGTAGTTAATAGTTATACCTAACATACCTAATTCTTGTATAATGCAATACAATCAAATAAAGGTACCTACAAAAATAAACAAAAAAATGCATATTATAATCATTAATCACATAACAAAGATGAGTTCTTCAAGAGTTTGATTTTAACTTCTCCAAAAATGTAAATAACAGAATTTTTAAATACTCTTATTGAATATGACATTTTAAAAAATTTGGAGGATAATATCAAAAATGTGGGAAAGTCAATTTCAAGTAGACTTGACGATAAATTCAAATCTGTTTTCAAGATTCTTATCGCTTCATTAGATCAATTGGTATGTTTGGCAAAAAACACATCTAAAATACTATGTCGAGCGTGTGTTAGACAAAAACAGAAAATCACGGTATCGAATCCCCTTAAAAAAAAAGTATTTAAAATATATTTTTATAGATAACAGTACTATTATACACGGTAACATGTATTACATTGATTGAGAATTAATAAAAAAAGTGACTGTTTTTACTTTTTGCTAGTTTAATTAAAATTCTTCGATGTAAGACGTTTTTAATTGAACCAGGAAGTTAAAAAGACAAATGTTTATGTTATGTTTATAGTAATATTAATAAATAATAATGTTAATACAACTGTAATATTTTCACATGTAGAGTACAGAGTAAATCAATTGTCTGATGATCGCATAACAGATGAAATATCAAAACTGTGTAAAAATCGGTACAGCACTGAAGTCATAACTAAAATAAAAGATTTTTATTTCAATAAATGTAATATTGAATCTGAAACAACAAAATTGGAACACATATGTCACGTAAGCACAATGTATTAGTAATAATGTAATAATTAATCGAAAATTATATGTATAAGTAAATTACTATTTTATTCATAAAATATGATAGATAATTAAAGAAATTTACATTTGAATTAATTTTTTTATTTGTTGTAAAAAACTACTATTCTATAGACACGTAATAATAATATATTTATATCTATACGCAGCTGCACAGTGACGTATTATTTGTCAAAGACTTCTATCGCAGCTTCAATAATTTCCTGAAACAAGACGTCGTACCGGTTTACAAATACGAATTCAAATTCGACGGTAAACTTAACGCTGTCAAAAACATGGTTTTGGCCACGAGACCCGTGCTTCGACACTCCATTAAAGGTAACTATAATAGAATTACCTTTGTCAAAAAGTATATTCATTGTTATCCCAATCGATAAACGTTAAAACTTGTTTCACTATATCTGATATAGTCTATCAAACACAATACAATATATTGACTGAATAGTGAATAACGATTAAAAAAAAATTTCTATTTCGCATTCAGGCGCATGCCATGCGGACGATGTTAATTATTTGTTCCATTGTAAACTATCTGGGGTCGTTCCAAAACCCAACTCTCCGGAACTCGAAATGTGTAAGATTATGGGTAAGATGTGGTCCAATTTCGCAAAATCTGGGTATGTTGAATTCGTATAGTTTATTAATAATATTATGATTCCGTCACAATGTGACTGGATGTATATTAACACATGGAGTGAATTAACACGTTCGATTTGGTTTGATTTTAGTGATCCAAATTCGTCGGATTTAAGTTTCAAATGGGTTAACGCGAGCGCAAGTGATCCAAAATACCTGTCAATAGATGGAGACAGGACACGGATGGTCGATGGAATGATAAACAGCAACAGATTACGTCTTTGGCAAGAGATATCGGAATCCGTTGTTTAGGCGATAACCAAAATAATTATTGTCTTCAATCATACTTAATTATTATAATATATACCTACACGTAGTTTTAGAAAGTATTCAAATATATGTATTCAAATACATTTTTTATTCGAATATTTTAAATAATTTTTGAAAAAAAACTATTCGAAAACTATAATTTCGGTTTGCAGTATGTATCGGCACCTAACATAATATTATACGGACTAAATAAACAGTTAAAAACTTATAAATAGCTCAACTTTAAATGATTCTTCTTTAACAAAAAGAAATATAAAGAATTCATCTGTTCATACTAACATACCAAAAAACATAACAGAAACGCATTCTGTTATAAATTAAATTACATTAGTTACTAATAAAAATGAATAATTTTAATTATTTAATGATAACAATAAATTTGGTATCATTAGGTTTTCAACAAAAATCAATGTAGAAGTGTTATGTGGTATCAGTACACTATTTGTCGATGGAATTTTCTGAAGATTTCCAAAATATTTTTATCAATTTTTCACCATTGACGGCCTCGGAGAGTCATATATTCCACTTGTGTTTTTTTATGAGCTATGTAATAAAGAAATAGTAACATACTTACGTTTATTTGAACATACTGTAAATAGTTGTGTACAATATCAATTAACATTTAGCTGATTGATATAAAAGGATGTCGTTTCCATTTAGGACAAAATTTGAGGAAAAAGATTCAAAGTCATGGTTTGATAAACTTATACACAAATTTAAACACAGAAAAAAAGATTTTTTTTTAATATTTTTAGGTTTGCCATTTCTTATAACTTAAGAAGTCAACGAATGTTTTGTAGAAGATTAAATGACAATACAAGTATAAGTATGTCGTTTCAATTTGCGTTAAGATTTTTTGCCCCACCTACACCTCAAGTCAAGTTTTACTTAAAAAATCGTAACGAAATATGAAACGAAACTTTTATTTATTTATATAATGTCTATAGCAACCATTAATAAACAAAAATGTCTATCGTAAATTACATATTTTTTTATTGTATTGATTTTGCTCACTCTCTCTCTCTAATTCACTTTTAATTTCACTGGCCCAATTACGTAAGTTTTAGTGTTTTACTTCCCCAGAAGTTTTTTGTTTTTTATACTTACTATTTTGTATTTTATTTTATTTTTGAATACTATTGATTTTTATGTATGTCTGTACTTGTATAAGTTTTAAAACTTCCAAAAATACAAAAATATTTGGGTGTGCTGAGTAAAAGTATTTTCCGAATGCTGAATGAAACGACTCGCAGGCATTTGTAGTTCTTTTACTTGATATACTGCACGACGCCCACATAAATGGTGGAAAAGTTGCGTCTTCGTCAATATACATATTAATAAGATAATCACTAAATTGAGTTACCCGTTCATCCGTAGATTTTATACTCATAAAATCGTTTGCAAAGAGATTTCCAACATTTTCTGGTTCAAGTAGTGATAGACCAAATATCCACCTTAACCATTGTCCAATTTCACTTAAATCATTCTTATACTCACTAGTTAAGCCTAAATTTTGAATTTTTCTCCACCATGCTTGAGATAAATGAAAACGACAGCCGTGTAAAATTATAGTAGGCCAAACAGTAATTATAGCATTATGTAAACTTTTCTCAAAATCTACAACACATACTTTTGGATTGAATTTAATTGATAATTTTGATTTACAAATATCAATTAAAGCCTTTAGAGCTCTTTCATAGACAATAGATTCTTTACTTGGTAAAAGAAAAAAAATTAATGGAATATAATGTCCATTATTTACTGTATGAATCGTAAATAATTGGTAAAAATATTTCGGACAGTAAGAAAAGGTCCCATCCATAAATATTTTTTCTTGACAACAGATGAACTTTAAATTAGTACCGTTGAAAACGCTGTTATATTATTTTCAAAATCATTTATTAATAAAATTCTTCATTTCTATTTGCAAGTGTTGTTGTGGACATTATTATTTCCTGAGTTTCTCGCAAATTCTTGGGTAATTTTGGTATAGATTTTCTTCTTGCTCTATATAAATTTTGTCTTATATTTGATATGTCTTCAATTTTGAGATCATTTGTTGATTTTTCAGTAAATATTTGTTTGTTAATTAATTTTAACGGCTTTTCTATTAAATCATTCATAGCTTTTCTATTAACTTGATTTGATATAATTTGTCGTTGAACGTTTTTAGGAGGGAGATGATTGTGTTCAGTTTCTTCTTTTAATATTGTAGTTTTAACCTCGTCAACATACAATTTAGCGTTACAAGTTTTTTTTGTACACCGCCACTTACGTCCATTTTTAGTAAGATTTTTACATGAAAATTTATAATTTTTATAAAGAATTAGTTCTTTCCCACGTTCACTCAAAATTACTTCCATTATAATATTATACGAAATTGCTATTGCTATAGACTGTTTCAAGTAAACAAATTTATACGAATGACGACACGATACTGATCATTTGGAAAAAAGAAAAATAACTTGTTAGTTATTACTTCCATAATATAATATTATTATCTTATCTCATTTTTATTAGCGGGTATTCCGATTTGACCAATTTATTGCATGTAGATAGATAACGTATAGTATGGGCAATAGTTAAATATTATGTGACTTAAAACGCATAAAAATGATTTAGGTATATTATAATATATTAATATATAATTTATCTATGTCTTATATTATCCATCATAATATAATTTATTTACTGGATAAAATATTAAATGTAAAACAAATCACATTTCATTTCATTGAAGTATAAAACATTTTTTTTTTAAATATTATTTTTCAATTAATTGGACCGGTAAAATGCGTTAATCGTGCGCCATCCAAAAGAAAGGAGCCCGATCGGGTAAGATTTCTTTAAAAAAAAAAAATGAAAGAAGTTCGTAATGGGGTTCGTAAGGATGTGCAGTAAGTACTTTTAAATATAAGCTTCAAAATAAAAATACATTATTTCATGTCCAATTTTGTGACTTTTTGTAAGTAAAATATGTTATTTTGTAGAACATAATAATATGTTAAATTACTATACAGGTATATATAATAGTTTTATTATTTTATGAATATTACTTGATTTATAGCATATGTTCATATATTTTATAGTGATGTGAGTCTCGTATAAATTTGCAAAAAATTTACGATTTACATTTTTTTACCGTTCAAAAAGTTGAGTGATCACTTTATTTGTATACTTCTATATTTTTATCGAGATTTTAGAATTATAATAAAAATCAATATTTTATAAAATTATATTGATCGATATTATGTTTTTAATTTGTAACATTTTATTAATTATTTTTATTTAAACACATAATAGAAAACTATAATTATTAATTATTATTTTTAATAAAGAGATTAAATACTAATGCTTTATTTTATATTTGTCTTGCCTTCTTTACATAATATTGTAAAAAAAATTAAATAGGTACACTATAAATTGAATTTTAATAAAAATTTACTAATTTTACCGTAATTTTGGTAAATTTAACCGGAAAATGACTCGATAAATTACCAAAAAATTTTTTTACGTAAAATACTCATCATTTATATTTTATAATACAAAATAAAATAATATATTATGTAAGGTATTATTATTACTTACTTTTTTCCTATTTATATCAACAATGTAGGTATCTGCTATTTAATTGTAATAAAATATTTTTACAGTGTATTACTACTATATTGGCACTATTACCTAATGATTAAAAATTAAATTATATTTTTGTATTGCATATATTTGCTATAATATACATCTTATACTTTTTGTTTATAAAAATTTAAATAAAATTAATAATTAATTATTACTGCAAAATTAAAATCAAGTACCTATTTATGTTTGTATTCAATTTTTGAATTACTTGACTGGGTGTAATAGTGTACCTAATAAACAGGCCCGTACTGGCTACCTCTAAGGGGCGCGGGAAAAATTTATTTTTAGGGTGCCAACTATAATTTTATATAACCACTTCGCGATTATATCATATTTCGTAAAAATTTGAAGTTTCAAACGCTTATAAAAAAAATTGTGCCTATGTATTTTATGTAATTTTATCGACATTTATAAAAAAAACAAACAAAAAAAGTCGAATATTTCAAATGCCTATAATAGCTGTAAAAATTAACGAAATATTTTGGAAAAAAAATCCCGTGAAGAAAATGTCACAATAAACAACTGGTGGAAGTTTTGAATTTCTACGGCTTATACTTTTTGAATAAAAATAAACATCGAAAATTGTTTGAGCTAAATCTTTGTTTAAGGTGATTTTGTAAAAGTTTAAATTTCAAACGCTCATAAAAATTTTTGTCCGGTAGAATTTTTTTTACAGATATTCAAAGAAAAACTTATGGAAAATTTGGTACCAAATTTTCAAATCTTAGGTATAAATACTTAAAATTTTATGAATATTCAACAACAAAATAACTTCAAATTTTCGCGATTTTAACATATTTGAATAATGTAAATAAACTAATTGTAAATAGTATTAATTTATAAATTGTATATAGTATTCAAACCACAAGGTAACAAGATAAGTTCAGTTATAAAGGCTGATTCCTAGGAGTCATGTACTATGTAAAAACAATTTACAATAATGTACACTAAGCTTTTATCTATGAATATATTATACAAGTACAAGGGCCCCATAACATTTTTTAAACTAGTGCCCTACAAAACCTAGTTGCGGCACTGTAATGTAGTTACTCAAATCAGTCTAATCTAATAATTGTAATAAATTATACATTTATAAATAATTAGTTATTACGAATAAATAATAATTTATGCAAAGTTAAAAAAAATATACAAAAAATGGTATTCAAAAGTGACTATATGTTATGAAATAATTTTTCAAAATTTTTTTTTGATTTTATATTTATTTAGAAATGAAGATTTAATTAATGAATTAAATAATTTAATTCCGTCTTCTAATGCAGAAAATATGACTTTGAATTATAACTCAACAATTGTTTCCAATAAGTATGCATATTTGTATTTTCTTTAGATTATATTTTAATCTATCAATTTTTTTTTAATGCAGTGTTTTAGTACACGATTTAAATCTTGATGAAACGTCTGTATCGTCTGTAGTGAATACATTATCATCGGATATAAAGTAAATATTAAAACCAAGTTAAATTATGAATATATCGAATAACATTGTTATTTTATGAAGTAATTTAGATGCAACATTGATTTGTCCTGAATATAAGGCCTCATGTTCTCGATTAGAGTGAGCAAAGATTTAATACTATTTTTCTTATAAGTACTGTTGAGACCCGAATGCGCGATAACACCCACCCACCGACCGCATCACACACGCACACACACACACAGCACAAATTATTGTATATTTTATTTTTCTATGTAAATTGTGTCGTCCGTGAATTATTATGTAATATAAATGTGATAAATGTAGATAAGTGAATTATGTAATGCGCCCGCCGACGCCTCGCCGTCTGGAGGAGTAACACAGCCGCCGCAGTCCAGTTTCACGCATCGGTGTCATCGAAAACCGTTAACTATTATTTTGTGTGCCAGTCGTCATTCGTAGGTACAATATATTGTAAAATTTGTAAGGCGCGAATCGCCAGAATTATAATATATTGCATCGTTTGTAAGGCGCGAATCGCTACATATTGTACGTTATTATACGGCGCGAATCGCCAGTGTTCGTTGTAATTTTTTATATTATTAATGTGAAGGCGCGAATCGCCCAAAAATATTATTAATTGTAAAGGCGTATATCGCCAGTGTTTATTATTATTTTATTATACTTATTATTATATAGGATAGGTAGCAGCTGGCCAGCCGTGCACCGTCCAAATTGTGAGTTTTTTATTTTTTATTATTTAGTATTTATTATTATATTTATATACCAGCCATAGCTCAAATACCTGGCACATTGTTATTGTTATTATATCTTGTTGGGCCAGAAGGGCCTCAATATCATTAGTCATATTTTTTATACCTATTGTGTTGCTGTGATTTTTTTTATATATTTGTGTCATTATTCTTGTGTATTATACAGCAACAGCAACTCATTACCAGCAACCGTGTTACCTATTATTTGCCAGAGTTACCTTTATGTCCCATAGTTTTAAACACACACACGTATACACACTTACACACCCACTTACACCACAGCACTCACAGGTTTTGCTCGGCGAACCTGTCCAATTCCTGTTGAGTGCTAACACACATATTATACACAAAGATACATAGGTCGGTCGGTGTGTGAGTGTTGCGCGGAAGTAGGTATGCGCTGACCGGGCACACGGTCTATTATTGTTCCGTTCCCGGCGCGACCAAGTACCTAAGGTTTTATTTTAATATCTATTACTTTTTTTTATTTAGTAACACTAATACAACATCCATTAATTCGGATAATTATGAACATTTGACTAAAATTCAGTCCGTCAGTGATGATTCATATATAAACGTTACCGAGTATGAGTTCACATTAATTATAGTTACCTATTGTTATTATTTTTTATTTATTTATTTGTATTTGTTTTAACTATAAACTTAGACCTTAACTGGGCGAAGAATTGTTGATATTTTATATTTTATTAATTAAATACAAACAATGGTACACGATGGTGGTTTCGATTGCTCATTTATGAACATGGAGTTTCAATCCGAAAAAATAATGGGCCATCAGTCAATTTTAACATTTAAGTGTAAAATGTGTAACATTGAAAATAAAATTTACACCGAAAATCCAAAGACGGAAAAATGTCCCGTAAACAAAGCTGCTGTGCATGCTTGTCAAGCAATTGGTATTGGTTACACACAGTTATCAGAACTTATGGCATTTCTTGAAATTCCTACAGTATCAGAAACAAGCTATATAAAAATTCAAGAAGGAGTAGCAGATACTGTCCATGACACAGCGTGGGATGAGATGAAACGAGCGGGCGAAGAAGAAAAACAAATTGCACTAGAGTGTGGTGAAGTGGATGTAGATGGTATACCAATTATAACTGTTGTTGCAGATGGCCAATGGTCAAAACGTAGCTACAGAATAAAATACGATGCGTTATCTGGTGCAGTAAGTTACATCTACAGACAAAAATAATAATTTTACATTTTTACACATACAAAAATAAACATATTAAATATAGTAAGCATTTAGGTAAGTACATAAATTTAGATTTTTCTTGTATCAAATTACTTATAGGCAACGATAATAGGATTTAAAACAAAAAAGTTCTTTTTATCGGAATACGAAATAAGTATTGTACTATATGCCAAAGATCGAAAAATAGTAATCAAGTCATTGTTTCTGAACACAAATGTTTTCTTAATTGGCATAAATCTTCAACTAGTATGGAAGCGGATGGTGTGCTCGAGGGTTTAAGCAAAAGCATAGAAATACATGGGCTGAAGTATAATTGTTTAATTGGTAAAATCTAAATAAATCTTAAACAATTTATAAAAACTAATAATTTCTATAACTATTTGTATACAAAAATTTAATAGGCGACGGGGACAGTAGTGTCACAAAACGTTTGAATGAATGCATAGGGGTGCGCAGACTCCTATTTCAGGTGTGGCTTTAATTTTTTTTTGATCACCCACCCCCTTATAAAATCTCGTCTTAAACAAAAAAATAATAATAAAATAGATATACAAAACATAGGTAAGTAGAAATAACATTTATTATAAAAACTGATGTACACTAAAACTAGTACAAACATTGTATGAGTTAACCCTTTAGTGGGCACAGGAAAAAAAGTAAATTTATTTGTACCAAATTTTTGTATCCAATTTTTGATTATTTTATTATTTCATTACCTTCATAAACATTAAAAACACCTCATTGATTTTGATGTCATAACATATTAAACTTTTACCTGATAACGCTGCTCGATCGTCACAAAAATCATTAATTACTAGTTACAACAACAGCTCTAGAAGTATGTCCATCACGGTTTATAGGCTCAACATTGAGCTCATTGTCTAAAAAAAAAATAATTACTCTAAATTGACATTCTAAAATTATTTTTTGGCTATGTGTTTATTAGTTTAATATTATTTTAAATCATATAAAATGTAAGTTATAAAATATTTTTTTAAAGTTGAGAAAAATATTATTTTACCTGTTAATACACCTTCACTAATGAATAAATCAGTGTTCATGCCAACACCAGTAGCATTAGAACTTTGTTCATTGCACCTTTTAGGCTCAATAACAAAGTGCTGTTCTACATAAATATAATAAGATTATATCCTAATTATTATAATTTATATTCATTGTACATATGTACCTGTAAGTTTACTGTACAATTGGGCCACTTACTGTAGTAGAATTAAAATACAAACTTAGTATGCACTTACCATTAAACGTTGACATATTATTTTGTAACATTGGTTTAGGGGAAAAAATGATTTGATTAATGCATTGTTCTTTTTATTTTTTTTAACAGAGCATGATTTTATGTGCCGTTGCCAGTTAACATCGTTAAGATTGGATCTAGCTTTGCCACAAAGGCACAATTCTTCACTTGGAGAAGACATTTCATTTAAATTTTTAATAATGAACTTACCGCAAAAGAAATACAATTTTAAACAAATAAGTTAGCATACACAACTTACAACGGGTTGGGGGCAGGTGTCCGAAAGATTACCACAAGACCATACGCATATACCCGTATAACCACTCTTATCATCCGTAAATTTTATTAAACCACGAACTAAGATATCTTAACAAACTAAGTACTTAGTACCTACCTAAATAAAAAGTTTCAGGTGTGGCTATAGCCCTATAAGCCACACCCGTGCGCACGTCTATGAATGAATGTCAACCGTATGGCCCAAATTTTCATATTCGTAAAATAGAGTGCCGAAATCATATTATGATGCGAAATTATGCTACTAAACTTACAGCACTAGCCAGAAACACAAAATTTCCACTCCGAATACGTAAATTTATTTTAGGAAATATTTTGCGGTTTAGAGGAGACGTGACAAAGTCTGTTTTACACTGGAAAAATGAAATTGGTATCACTAAATTACAAAAAATTAAAGGTATTAGTGTATTTCTAATATATATATATATATTTAGGTACCTTCTTATAATTTTTGAATGCTTGTAACTAAACATAATATTTTTTTTTATTTTTTTTTAAACGTTATTTATATTGTAATAAATTAACCAAACAAATCAACAAAATAATTCATACATAATTCATAAATAAAATATAGTAAAATTAATTGTATTTTCATATTGTAGGTATACAAAAAGATATTGCGAATGCACCATCGACTTGGCCAACATATAAATTGTAGTTCTTATTTTTGTGACGGGTCGAAAAATAACGAACAAAACTTGGTTCCCGAGGCTGAAACCTCTGGAATAATGTATGAAATAAAAAATTATACATCGCGGCTTGTATCTAACGCAGATAGTTTGTTAGAGAACAAAAATAATAATATATGCGAACAGTTCAATGCTTTAATAAACAAGTTCGTAGCAGGTAAAAGATTGAATTTCTCGGGAAAAGGTAGTTATACAACAAGAGTGGAGGCAGCTGTTGTATCTTTTAATTCAAAGCAATATTTAAGAACAATTCACAAAACGATAACTAACTGTAGTCCAGGTAAACTAAATTATTAATTTATTATTTCATTGGTATTGATTTATGATATGATAACTATTAACTGGTATTATTTAGTACAATATACTTTTAATCATAAATATTTAAGGTAAATTTGGAAAGCGATTTCTTCTAAATTACGATCGAAAAAGAGCCAACACAATGAAAAGGAGGAAATTATTTCCAGAAATTAGAAAAAATAAAACTAAACGTTCAGATGGACCAGATGCAGATTACGGCATGGCTGAACCTCTTATTGATTCGTATTCTCAAAAAGAGATTGAAGAAAAAAAAACAAATTTCCTGGAAACATTAAGTCGGTCTAATTTTTCACAAATTGAAAAAGATACGAGAGGACAAAGTAACACTCAAATTTGGTTCAAAGAACGAAAAACACGTCTTACAGCTTCCAGATACGGTCAAATTTGCAAAATGCGATCTAATACAAGCTGTAAAAATACGGTATATAATATTTTATATGGAACGGAACCTTACATAAAATCTTTAGAATATGGAAGAAATATGGAGGCAAACGCTCGTCAAAAATTTGAAGAAATTACTACTAAAAAAGTGATTGAATGTGGCTTAGTTATTGATCCTGAAATTCCATTCCTAGCAGCAAGTCCAGGTATTTTTTTTAGTGAACATGCAATAATGTATAAATTAAATTAATTGTTAAATTATATTTTTTCATTTTACATAATTTACGATCTATCAACAAATTTGTATACTTTCAGATGGGTTGATTGGAAAAGACGCTTTGATTGAAATCAAGTGTCCATATTCAGCCCAGAATACAGAAAATGCAATCGATGCCATAAATAATAAACAGGTGTTACTATGATTTGTAATTTATATTAATTTATTACCTAAAACTATAAGTTATTAACAAAATATAACAAATTATTAACCATTATTATTTTTAAAAAATACTTCATTGTCTTATTTGTAATTTAATAAAATTACAGTTGAAATACTGCAAAGTTGTAAACAACAAAGTTATTTTAAAAAGAGACCACTCGTATTTCTACCAAGTCATGGGACAACTACGAGCAACTTGTCGACAGAAATGTTTTTTCGTAGTATATACAAAAAACTGGATTAATATCGAAGAAATCGAATATGATAATAACTTTTGGATGGATAAAATGGAGAAACAATTGAAAATGTAATAACTATTTTTATTAAATAGCTAATATATATTGTTATTTTCATATTTTTAAATCTAATTAATCTAAATATCTAATCGAATTTTAAAATATCTCATGTAACATATATTATTTATTATGTAATAGGTTTTATTTGGAATGTTTGTTGCCGGAAATAATCAATTCTCAATTTCCGAAACGTATGTTGAAATCAGATACACTAGAACCAGACCGAATATTGGAGAAAATTAAAATAAAAAAAAAATAATGTGTTGTTTTTTGTGTGCATTATTATCGGAGAACCAAAAAATAATATTATTAAAACATTAAAACGAATTATTGTATAATATATTTAGTATGTTTGGTAATTATATCAATTAGTAATTAAGAACGGACCAATTTTAGAAATATACAGAAAGTAAGCTGGTAGCATTCAGGATTATTTCGTCACTATAAAATATGTAAATGCTGTTCTATAAAAGTTGTTGTACTTTATTTATCTGTACACATATTAAATTAAATAACAACTAGTAAGTTGTGACTAGTGAATGCAAAGCCAGGATTCAGGAGCGAGTGTGGCGTGTGCTTAGAAATAAATTTGCGAAATAAAAATATAAGAAACGGTCTACTGCATTGACACGAAACGTTCTGAACGGCGGTCCGTGAACAATAATGTAGGTACTAGGTACCTCTCGCGCGATTACAAGTTGTAAAAAAAAAGTTTACTCCCTACTTTATAGACCTAATACAACGACTAAAGAAATGACATATGGTATTGAAATTTAACGTCAAGCCAGAAAAAAGTATGAAGAATTATATGGTGTTTCAGTTGAAGCATGTGGATTGATTACTGACATAGAATTCCCTATTTGCCTAATTGCTACGTAGGGTACCTACACATATTATTACAAAAATACAAAATTATAGCTTTAACATTCAAAATATACTCAATATAAAACTAATATAGTACTATTACGCAATAAATACAGGTCGCGTAAGTATGCGCGAATATTAAAAATATTACGGTGGCAATGCGGCATAATGTACGTGTAACGTGTATGCATTTTATATTTACGCGACCTGCCACAAACGAAGGTTGAGAAAGTAATAAACGTTGCTCCCGAATGAGCACAATCGTCGGCCGGCCGCCGACGACGAGTAGTCGGCGCGGCTTAAACGTCGCGTGCTTGCGCATCGCGAAAACACCTAACAGCGCGTTCTCTCGGTCGTTGTTTACGTTTCGCTTTCGGTGTGGCGTCCTCTTAAAAGAGAAAAAGTCGAAGAGGGCTGGACAGAATTTCAAAATATACAGTCCACTATTGAAGAAAATTCCACCAGCCCAGAAAATGAGGAATTGTATCGGGACGAATTTGAAAATTTGTACTTCTCAGCCGTAGCTAGTTATATCAGTCTAGTAGAAAAGAACAAAAAACCCGACAAGTCACAGTCGGATCAGGTCTCAAATGAGATCGGAACCGATAAAGGTCAAAACGCATCGAGTGTGAGATCTAGTGTAACTAGTGTAAGTAACCGAGCCTCTGTTGTAAAACCAGCAGCTTTAGACGTACCAAAATTTAGTGGCGATTATAAGCAATGGTCGACATTTAAGGACATATTTACTGCATTAATACATTTAAATGACGATATCTCGGATATAGAAAAATTTTTTTACTTAAAAGCAGCTTTGTTCGGTGACGCTGAAAAGGTCATTCAATCATACGAAACCTCAGGAAAAAATTATTTAGTGGCGTGGAATTGTTTAAACGAACGGTTTAACAATAAAAAAATAATCGTCCAGACGCACACTAAAGCAATCTTCGATCTGGAACCTATCACAAAGACCTCATCAGAATTACGACAACTGATTGACTCGTTGTTGGGACATATGACGTGTCTTAAGTCACTAGGTTACGACCCAAAAAACTGGGGACCAATGTTATTGCATATAATTTCGACAAAGTTAGATAGTGCTACGTTAAAGGAATGGGAAACACAAGCGCCAAAAAAGCATGTGCCCGAAGTAGACGAACTGTTAACCTTTTTACAAAACAGATTTCAAATACTGGAAGCAGTAGAAGGTGCAAAAAATATAAATTTAGCAGACACGCAAAATAAGAAAAAATTCAACAAAGCCGAAAAATCCAAAAAAACGATAGCCCATACTAGCACCAACAAATTTAAATGTTATCTCTGTAATGAAGGTCATCCGATATATCGCTGTACAAAATTTCTCGCGCTGTCAGTAAACGATAGACTGCAACAGGTAAATAAGTTGGATATATGCAAAAACTGTTTGTCTCGGCACGCAGACAATAAATGTAAATTCAAAGGATGCAAAAAATGCAATAAATTCCACAACAATTTACTTAACGAGCAAAATAACGTAGCGCCCTCAACGACAAGTACCGTGACTACACACGTGGCTCCGTCGTCGGACGTCCACGTATTGTTATCTACAGCGATAATACAAATATACGATAAGTATAATAAACCGCTGTTAGCAAGAGCACTGTTGGACTCCGGATCGCAATCAAATTTTATAACAAATGAGTTATCAAACAAACTCGGGCTAATACAAAAAAATATTAATTGTGAAATAACCGGGGTAAACAAGTCAAAAAGTTATTCCGCGCACTCTGTATTAACAAAAATACAATCGCGATCAACCGAAAATCAGTATATGTTAAATTTTTTGACTGTACCAAAAATTACAACGTACTTACCAACGGAAAAAATAAACACGTCAAACTGGAACATACCACAACACATACAATTTGCCTACCCGTCGTACGCTCAGCCAGGGAAAATAGATATTTTATTAGGCGCCGAAATATTCTATGATGTTTTACTCACAGGTCAGCATAAACCTATTATAAATGGTCCTATGTATGTTTCAAGAGACAGTATTTGGTTGGATAGTTGCCGGCCCCGCTAAAAGCGAAAATAATTTAACAGTACACTCCTTCTTTCTAAACGTAACGTCGGAAAAGCCGAACTGTTTTGATCTAAACGATCAGATTACCAAGTTTTGGGAATTAGAAGAAATACCGAAAGAAACCGTTTATAGTTCTGAAGAAAAAATGTGCGTTGAACATTTTAACAGATCAGTAAAACGTAACGATGAAGGCAGATTTGTTGTTCGATTACCGTTGCGCGATAACATAAACACATAAGGCGCGTCGCGTTCAATAGCTTTGAAACGTTTTCTATCCATGGAAAACCGATTTCGTTCGAATCCCGAATTAAAACAAAAATACGTCGAGTTTATGAAAGAATACGTGAACCTCGGTCATATGGAAAAGGTAGATCAAAATGAAGAAAAAGAAAAGTCGTATTATATACCTCATCACGCAGTTTTCCGCGACAGTAGTCGTGTTTGACGCGTCGTGCGCGACCGATTCAGGAAAAAGCCTAAATGATTTGTTATTAAAAGGGCCAAACATTCAAGACGAATTAGTCTGCATTATTGCACGTTTCCGGTCGTATAAATACGTCATGTCGTCCGACATAGAAAAAATGTACCGTCAAGTTTGGGTGTCAAGTGCAGACGTCAACTTGCAACGAATACTGTGGCGTTCACAACCGGACGAGCCGATCATCGAATACAAATTAAAAACAGTTACCTACGGAACGACGCCAGCGTCATATTTAGCCACTGGATGCTTAACAAGATTAGCAGAAGAAATGAAAGAGTTATTTCCAGATGCTCATAAAGCCATCACTAATGACTTCTACATGGACGACTATCTGGGCGGTGCCAACGACGTAACGGCCGCCGTAAAATTACGCGACGACGTTATCAACATTTTAAATACGGCCGGCATCAAATTACGTAAATGGATTTCTAACGACCGTCGATTATTAGAACACATATCAAACGAGGACAATGACCCACTGCGCGTTCTAAATCTGGACGAGAGCTGCACTACAAAAACATTAGGTCTGGTTTGGAATCCGTTTAACGACGTTTATCAATATAAAGTAAACAATAATTGTAAAAACAATGCAGAACGAATTACAAAACGTATAGTATTATCAACAATAGCGACTATATTTGACCCGCTCGGTCTCGTCGGACCCGTTGTCGTCGTCGCCAAAATATTTATGCAAAAACTATGGCAAGCACGTATAAATTGGGATGACCCTGTTGCGTCGTCGCTACACGAAGAATGGCAAAATTATCAACAAACCTTACCAGAACTTAAAAAAATCCACATTCCAAGATGGATAATCGGTTGTTCGAACGTGTTAGTCACACAAATATACGGTTTCGCTGACGCGTCGATACAAGCATTCGGCGCGTGTCTATACGCACGGACCACAGACGCATTAGGCAATCACCATTCCAGACTGATCGTCGCAAAGTCAAAAGTGGCTCCATTAAAGGTAGTCTCTTTAGCACGCTTGGAATTATGTGCAGCTGTTCTGTTTGCGCGACTAGCTTATAAGATAATACCAAAATTAAATATTACAATAAATAAAAAACATTTTTGGTCTGATTCGACCATAGTACTCGCGTGGATAAATTCGCCTTCAACACGCTGGAAAACATTTGTAGCACATCGAGTCGGGGAAATTCAAACGTTAACAGCCGCAGCAGAGTGGGGATACGTCAAGTCAACTGACAATCCAGCAGATATAATTTCACGTGGTTGCAGCCCAAAGCAATTAAAAGACAATACTTTGTGGTGGGAAGGTCCAGTATGGTTTAAATCAAATGAAAACGAATGGCCTAAATCATCAATCGATGAATTATCACCGAGCACCGAATTGCCGGAGATAAAGCGTAAACCAGTAGCGCTTCACCTGTCCACAAAGGAAGAATTTTATTTATTAAAAAGATATTCGACTTTAAGTAAATTATTTCGAGTAACCGCGTATTGTAAGCGTTGGTACGAACGCGTAATAAATAAAATAGGTAATTACACGGATATCAAAGTCGACGTTACTGAAATAGATGCTGCACGGTTAACAATAATAAAATTAGTTCAACAACATTATTTTTTTGAAGAGATAACACTCATAAAATCCGAAACGTATATCAAAACAACGAAAATTGCCTTACTGCGCCCCTTCATAGATGAACAAAACGTGTTACGCGTTGGTGGTCGCTTAAACAAATCGACAACTATACATTTCGATCAACGAAACCCAATATTATTACCAGCTAAATCAGAATTCACAATAACACTATTTCGTAATGAACACGAACGTCTAGTACACGCTGGCCCGCAAGCGCTCTTATCAGCGATTCGAGAAAAATTCTGGCCTTTAAACGGTCGCAATATAGCGAGGCGTACGGTACATCAATGTATTACTTGTTTTCGTTCAAAACCAGTAACGTACGATCCGATAATGGGAGACTTACCACGCGATCGTATTGAACCAGAACGCGCGTTCAAAATATGCGGCGTCGATTTCGCCGGACCAATTATGATTAAAAGCAGTTTAAGGCGAAATGCACCGCTGACAAAGGCATATATTTGCGTATTCGTCTGTTTTGCGACCAAAGCTGTACACGTCGAGTTGGTCGGCGATCTAACTACAAACGCTTTTTTAGCCGCTTTACGAAGATTCTGGTCACGACGCGGAATGTGTAGTACCATTTATTCCGACAACGGAACCAACTTTGTAGGAGCAAATCGTCAATTAAAAGAACTACGTGATTTATTTTTGTCAAAGCAACACATGGAGCTGGTGCACCAAACTGTAGTGGAAGCCGGAGTAAAATGTATTCCCCCTAGAGCTCCACATTTCGGTGGGCTCTGGGAAGCCGCCGTTAAAGCAGTAAAGTATCATTTAATAAGACACTTGGGAAATGCTTCATTAACTTATGAAGAATTAAATACCGTGTTAGTTCGCATAGAGGCTTGCCTAAATTCACGTCCTTTGACTCCCATGTCCTCTGATCCTAACGATTTAAAAGTATTGACCCCCCGGTCATTTTTTAATCGGTGGTTCTCTTACCGAGCTACCGGAACCAGATCTTTCAAATATTACGCCAAACCGTCTCCGACGTTGGCAATGAACCGTTCAGGTGACTCAACAAATATGGTTAAGATGGAGTACCGAGTATTTGAGCCAACTCCAAGGCCGCTCAAAATGGTGCAAGTCGAAAGGTCCACCGCTTAAACCGGAAGATTTGGTCCTGATTAAAGAGGAAAATCTACCACCTCTACAGTGGGCAATCGGTCGGGTCATAGAAGTTTACCCCGGAAGGGATGGGGTGATCCGGGTAGCGTTGATCCGGACCAACAAGGGAGAGGTCAAGCGTGCCGCTCGATCCTTATGCCCACTACCAATAAAGGATGATAATTAAAAATTATTTAATTATTTATTAATTTAATTATTTAAAAAAAAAAAAAAAATGTATCTACTGTTATTTTTTGTGTAATATGTATAAATTATAAACTTAATTTTTTGAAATATTTGTATTTATAAAAAAGTTTACGTCAGCGTAAAATGCTGGGCGATATGTTCGATACCATAACATCTGATTTAATAATATAGAAATGAATTGTAAACGTAAACTGAGATAACGCGAATATCGGTCGGCGTTGCCGCACCGGGTCGCGTTATCTTCAGTTTACGGTCTACCTTCGCGTTGTAAAGTTGTAAACTCACAGTCGAATAATAACTGTACAATAAAAATTGTGTCAAATTGAATTATTTAAATAAAAATTAACAAATTATAAATAAGGCATTCAAGTGTACGAATTGTTATTAAAAAAGGGAAACCAAAAATACTAATATTCTCTTTAGGTGCCGCTTCACCTACTATACAGAGATATTTTATTTTATAAATTGTTTAGACGCCACACAATTGCTATTTAAGGCGTTTTATATAGGCAAGATTATTGAAATGTCAAGAAAAATATTACTATTCTTAAAACGAATTCAAAGTATTTTTAAATGTCTTCACCTACATGGTTGTTGCGTAATTATGAGATTATAATAATATGGATAAACGGTTTCATGCAGAACAACTTTATGAGTACAATTTTTACAGTAGTTTTACCAAGCTTCTACACCACATAGAGGATATCATTAACTGTGACGTTTTTTTTATATCAATACTATTACTGTTATGGATTTTACACACAACACAAAATAAACGTACGCACCAATTGAAAATTAAAATAATTAATGTATTTTTTATTAAAACTGGTAGTAAAAATTAAGTGTAGCTACAATCTGTTATTCGAACACTGGTAATTCTACGACTGACTGACTCCCTGTGTGTTGTCGTGACGGTGCCCCGTCTCACATCAAAAACCCTTATTCAGCGGTTCCCACGGTGGCAGCGTCTTACGACACACACTCTGCATTGTGATTGTCTATATATGTTGTTAACATATATAGATATATAAAAAATAAAATATGTACTAATCAGGGGTTCTTAACACCCCCCAGGCTAAATGAGACACGGGGGTCCAATGACCACAGTGTTTCACTTAAATATTTAAGTTTCTGCAAGATTTCGAATTTTCTGTTATTTGGGGGTCAGTTCAGTTTGACAATAAAATAATAAAATATTAAAGAAAAATAATAAAAGAAAAATAAATTACACTGTGTCTTCCTAAATACCATTAGATTTTTCATGCTTCTGGTATTTCAGGGTTGTATATTTTTGTAACATTTTTTCTTAAACTAAAACTTAATATACTAAATGTTAGTATTGTTAGTATTACAATAATATAAATGACAATAACGTGAATGTTAATATTGAAAATTAACGAAGATTCAGCTAGGGTATGTGAAAGTTCATTTAACTCAACTGCTTTATTAGTCAGTTGGTTCAAATTTTGAATTAAGATTTTATTAGTGAGGTTTTGAGGAATAATTGTTTTGACTATATCTGTCAATGTGTGTAACGGATCCTTCTTAGAATTTTCTGGTATAATATCTGAATGAATATCCCTACTAGCTTTGTTATTAGAAAATAATATAGAGTTTCTGAGATTAATTTTACAAAATGGGGGTATAGTTATTCTGCCTACGCCCTCAATTTCTATCTTGGAATTTTCTGTTGGATTTGTGCAAGTGATGGTACCTACTTCCCGTTGGGTATAATAGATCCATGAATTAGTTTGCACTAACTGATGCCATATAGGGGCTTTTAATGAAACGAATTTGAATTTGCAATGGTCTGGATTAAATTGATTATTCACTAGTAATGAAACTACACATACATCTGATTCTGCACGATGCTGTACATGTTGATTACCTCTACAAACTTTATAGGGCTTTAATGTTATACATTCTTCCCATTTTACGTTATCTAAAGCAATAAAATTTTCGTTGTCTCTGCTTACACCTAAATAATCTATTTCAGGGTCGACTAAGAAAATGGTTTGTTCACTGTGGGGTATGGGTAAAGGTATAGGGTGGTATATACTATATTCCTCACTGGTAATTAGTGGGATTTCTATGACATAGATAAGATAGTTGTCTTTAAAGAATATGTTTTTTTCAGAGATTCGGAGGATTTCATTAAGAGATTCTATATTAACTTCCAATGGAAAAGTATTTCCTGGCAAGTCCACCTTAATTTCAAGAAGTTCTTTAATAATGTGCTGTGGAGTAAAGACACTAGTGTGAATTTTTCCATCTAATGCTGTATTTATTATGGAGATAAGGTTCTGGGTTTCATAAGCGTACTTATTTAATACTAGTTCAAATAGTAATGATTGTTCTAATACTTTGGTTCGGAACGCCAATTTATTAAGGTTCTGGATAGTAAGATTTGTTTGTGCTTGTAGGTACTGGAGGTTTTGTTCTACTTTTTGTTGTTGGAGTTCTAATTGTTGTGTAGAGTGATTTACTTCTGCTTGTAGGAATCTGATCTTTTCCGGAATATTGTTTTTACTAGGTACTTTGCTTCGATTTAGTTCTGTTATTTGATTTATAATGAATTCAACATCAATCTTTGAGCATACACCATACAGAACGTTGGCCATACGCCTGAATGTTTGCCCCAATCCCCGTCGAACTCGATTATCATCATTATTAATGGCTAACATAAGACTTCTGTGATTAGCTTCGATCTCGTTTAAATAGGGCAAAGTTGCTCTAGAAAATTGTTGTATAAACAGAGAGCAAATCTCCTCAATTTCCACATTGCCAAATCTGTTTTTCATATTTTCGCAAATGGTCGTGGTGGCTTGATAGTGAGCCATGATGACATGGTATTTTGAAATTAGTAATTGTACATCCAAGGAGATTACCAATTCCCAACTCACATGTGACAATCTGGCTACTCCATGTGACTCACAATAGATCCCTTGTTGGTTCTTGAATGACGTTAGATTAAATACTTGGCGGTGATTTCTTTGGTCCGAATCATTGATGGAAGGTTCCGTGACGCTTATTGAAATTATGCTAAATCTGAAACATAGTTATGTTCTTTCATGAAATTGTTTTAGAAGGTTCCGGTGTACCTTTACAGGCTTGTTTTTCTTAAGTATCGTGACATTTGGTGAATCTGGTTGTATTTCTACGATGGGGTAAGGACCTAACCATTTTGGGGCTAGTTTTCCCTTACGGGCCTTGTCTTGTATTAGGACTCTATCTCCTTCGGCAAGGTTTAGAGGTGCTATTGATTTGTCATAACGCTCTTTAGATTTGTGTTTGCTTTCTAATAGCTCTGCTCTCGCTAATTTATGGGCTTCCTGCATTTGTTTCTTCATCTCAAAGTGATAGTCCTCATAGTTGTATTGAGGTTCAGGATCTCGAGTGAATGAATGCGGAACGGTTATCTCATTACCATAAACTAGTTGATATGGTTGAAATTTGGTTGCAGTATGTACTGTTGAATTATGACAAAACATCGCGAATGGAACATAAGTGTCCCAGTTTTGAGGATCTTTGTCAACGAAACTGCGTAAGTAGTCTCCTAATGTTCTGTGGCTACGCTCTAAAGATCCATTACTTTGTGGATGGTATGGTGTGGTCGAAGTTTGTTTGATCTTAAGAAGTTGACATACTTCTTTGAATACATGACTAAGGAATTCCGTACCACAGTCTGTGACAAGACTCTTCGGAAGTCCATGTAAGCACACAAATTGGGTTACAAAATGGTATGCTACAGTGTTTGCTTCATGGTTTATCATAGGTACTGCCCATGCGAATTTAGAAAGGTCATCTTGAAGAGTTAAGATGAATATATTCCCTTTATGAGACTTAGGAAATGGTCCTACAATATCCATGAAGATTTTCTCAAAGGGTCTGGAAGAGGTTGTGGTTATAACCATCGGTTCTTTTCCTGATCGATTTGGTATTTTCTGACGTTGGCAAGTTTCACAAGAAAGGATATATGCTTTGATCATCTGTCTCATTCCCTTCCAATGATGTTGCTGCAATATTCTTTGATATGTCCGATTTATTCCTTGATGTCCCCCCAAAGGAGTCTCATGGAATTCTCTAATGATTCGTAACTGGTCTTCCTTCGATAACTGTTCTTGTGTTACGATTTGTATTTCTATTTCCGAATTTCGGAACGTGTAGTAGAGCATGCTCCGGACGGTTTCCCATTTGATACCGTCTCGATCTATCGCTAAACGCGGACAAGCGAGTCGAGTTACTTTCCGCTCTTGGCAAATTTTCTTGAGATTCTGTAGGCTCTGAAAAATATCTTCGCAGGTCGGTTTTTGCCAGAACTTTTCTTTAGTAATGAGGTAGAATATGTTTCTGTCTGTTATCTCTAGTGATGCTACCTCGGTAACCTTTTTCTGTAGTCTACGTAACTGTGTCAGGTTGCCAAATTTTCTTCTCATTTGTACAGCTACTCCGTGTGTCATCTCGAAATCCGCCGAAACGCAACATGCCAGGGAAATGCTAGGATCCATTTCAAATATATTTCCTGATACTTCGCTAATTTTCTTAGTTGGTTTCTTAAGACTTGAATCGGCTTGCAGAAATTCCTGATAACCTTCGGTGATTTGTATGTTTGTAGAAGAGCTAGCTTGATGAGAGCTGTGATCGTCCTGAGGTTCTAAAGTTGATGGTTCTGCGTTGTCTGGATATTTTGAGTTCTCTGCGGCCTTTGATGATCTGGTGACGACTTGATTTATCCGACTTAAAGCATCTGCATTTGTGTTATTAACGCCAGGTTTGTAATGGATGGTGTATTGGTGTTCTTCCAATTTTAAACGCCACCTCGTTAGCCGTGAACCGGGGTCCTTTAGGTTAAACAGCCACACCAATGCTCGATGGTCCGTTATAATATTAAACTGTTGACCAAAAAGGTATGGGCGAAAGGTTTTAACTCCCCATACTATGCTGGCTAATTCCTTTTCAGTAGTATTATAGTTTATTTCAGCTTTATTTAATGTTCTGGATGCATAAGCAATGGGTAGGTCCTTCCCAATTGGACCTTGAGAAAGTACACAACCAATTGCGTAGTTGCTAGCATCACAAGTGAGATTGAAGGGTCTGGTGAAGTCTGGATACTGAAGGATTGGATAATTTATTAGAAGGTTTTTCAGTTTTTCGAATGACTGTTGGCATAGATCACTCCACATGAATGGCACATCCTTCTTTAGTAACGAAGTTAGTGGTTTAGCGATCTGTCCATAATTTTGTATGAAACGCCTGTAATACCCAGAGAATCCCAAGAACGATTTAATATCTTTTACGTTTTGGGGTATTGGAAAATTATGAACACATTCAATTAATTTCGGGTCAGGCTAAACGCCTTCGTCAGTAATTTGGTGTCCTAAATACGTGACCTCTTTCCTCAAAAATTCACATTTCAAGGGCTGTAGTTTTAGATTGAATTTTCTGAGCCTTTCCAAAATTTCTGTGAGTTTTTGTGAATGATCTGGGAGGTCCTTGGCATAAATAATGATGTCATCAAGGTACACGAACGCTTTTAACCCATTCAGGCCTGAAAGTACCTTGTTGATCATTCTTTGAAATGTTCCGGGAGCACCCTTTAGACCAAACGGCATCCGCAAAAATTCGAAATGGCCTTTATCCGTAGAGAAGGCTGTCTTCTCGCGATCTGCCGGGTTCATTGGCACCTGATGATATCCTTGGGCCAAATCAAGTGTACTGTAGTATTTGGACTTACCTAACTGATCTAAGATGTCCGTGATATTGGGAAGTGGAAAAGCATCTCCCACTGTAACTTGATTGAGTCGTCGAAAGTCAACGCATACTCGATACTTTACTACTCCGTTAACATCCGGTTTCTTCGGAACCACCAAAAGAGGAGCATTCCATGGCGAGTCACTAGGAGCAATTACCCCTTCTCGCTCTAGAATCTCCATTTGTTCTGTTATTTCTTGCCGATGTCGCTGGAGTAGTCGGTATGGCTTTTCATGAATTGGGTGAACGGCTTCAGAAGTCTTGATTTCGTGAGTAATGGCGGTTGTTGCTGTGATTTTATCCCCTTCCAATTGAAACACATCAGAGTATTCCTCACAAATAGTAAGCAATGAGGATTTTTCTTCTGAGTTTAAATGGCAGGTTCGCAGGGCTGAATGTAAGCGAGATATTCTGTTCCCATCAACACTAGGTTCTGTATTTTCCAAAATTTGTGATAAGTGCACATTAGCTTCGTTGAAATCTTCGTGTTCGAGATGCTCTAGTTGAGGGATTTGTAATTGAACTTGATTGACTGTTGGATTAATAAAAGGAACGTATATAAGATGATTTCTCACTGTGGTAACACAATTTCCACAGGTGAGGGCTTTGGTAATGCTTTGGCTTGAAATTAAAATGTTTGAACCCTCTGTTTTATTGGGAGCTGGAATGGCAACGAGAATTTCTGTTCTTGGTAGTATGGTTAAATTCACAAGAGGAGGGAGGATTAATTCCTTTGACTGGTAGTCGATTATAGTTCCATGTCCGATAATGAATGGTTTACCTAAGATTCCTTCATTTGGTACTGGGAAATCGGATTGAACTTGGAATTCAACGCGTCTTTTTTCACCTCCAATTTGAAGTTCGATAGTGACGGATCCTAAAGTCGTCACAAAATTATCTGTTATTCCTTTGAGTTCGTACACGGTATGGTCGTAAACTATTACTTCATCTCGCAATGCTGAGAGTTTGATTAAATTTAAGTCACTGCCAGAGTCGATTAAAAATTTGCTGTCTGTTGGAATGGTCTGAGGGCTTTGACACTGTACATGATCCTGTTCAATTTTCTGGCGAGCCGTATTATTTAAGATATTCCTGCGAATGAGATTGCGGCTGTTTTCAGGCTTCCTGCCGGGCGCCCGCCGTCGGCACTCGACTGCGTAGAGTTTTTTGAATTTTGTGAGGTAGTAGCTGGAGATTCTGCGGATCGCTTTGAATTTACGTATTTTAGTTTTCTGCATTCCTCCTTGGTGTGACCTGGTTTCTTGCAGTAACGACAAGTAATTGTATTAACGATCGCCTTGTGGGCGTTTTGAGGTGTTTGACCATTATTCGGCTTCACTTGGAGAGACCTGCAGTCTCTGGCCCAATGTCCCATTTTTCCGCAATGGAAACAAGGGGTACTCGGTTTCTTTGTAAGTGTTTTTCCATTGTTTTGTTTAGCAGACGGTTCATAGAAACGCTTTGACTCGTCGTGCGATTTTCTCACCCTTTCTTCTTCTCTTGCAGCTTGAATCGCTTTGTCAAGAGTTGGTGGATTTCGAGCCTTTATGAAGTCTTTCAGTTTTCCCAATCCTTCGATAAAGACTTGAATGGTCTGTGCTTTCAAACTGTCCTCCAATGCTGTGGCGACTTCTGCGGATTTTCCGTTTGTTTCCTGTTCTAATATGAGTGTCTGTAAGGCCTCAATACGCGATGAATATGTCATTACGTCCTCATCTCCTTTCTGTTTGATAGAATACAGTTCCAAATATAAATGTGGCGTAGTTCGCTGGGGTTCTAGTGACGTTTTTAGGGTATCCTTGAGTTCAGTCCAGGATTGAATCGAACGAAATTTTACTGCGGCCCGGGCCTTTCCCGTAAGCCGAATAATAATGCCTTGGAGCAGTCGCTGCTTAGCTTTCTCATTGGCACACATAATCGCGAACTCACATGTTTCTAGGAACAGCTCGAGATCTTCTTGATTTTCTCCACTGAATGTCGATGGTAATAACTTCAAGGCTGCTTCTAATCCAATGGTGTCTACGGATTTCCCAGATTGTGATAGGAGTTCTTGTGGGTTGTTCTGTGTTGAGGTGTTGATCACTGGATTTTCGTTCTGTCGGGAATTTCCTGTTTCGATGTTGTTTGGTTGTAGAAGGGACCCGTCATCGGCCATCGTGATGGTCTGATCTAAAATATTTGTATGCAAGGTATGGTTCGTATGAACAAGCACGTTATCTACGGAAGCTAAGGTTTGGTTAACGTTTTGCAACAACGTCTCGTTAAATTCTTTGATTTCATTGGTCTGGTTGATAAAAAGATTATCCCCCGAAATTTCCGCAACAGGTCGTTCGGATTCTGGAACTTGTGGATTTGCAAACCTAACAGGAAGACTGAGACGTGGAGCAGGGAGAGGGTTCTCGGAGGTTTCCTCTCTATCTTCCAATTCAGGGGTAGGGGTCCTACTATTAGTATCTCCCGTATCACTCATCAACTAAGTGTTAAACAATAACGATTTATGCAAACTACTACTACTGTTGCTAACAGTTAAAATAAATTATTAAATGTTATCACTACTAGGTTTGATGACAGTAATAATAATAATAATAAAAAAAATAAAAAAAAAAAAAATGTTCAATAACTAATTTAAATTGTTAGTATGTTAGTAAATGTTCTGTTACTCACAACACCGCAAACTGTATTGATGCCGCCATGAGTGTTGTCATTGGAAATGTGCGTTGTTGAAAGGGTCTGGATGAGTCGGGTTGGCTCTGAGTGTTGCCAGTGAAAAGAATTATAAACGACGTAAATCCTCTTCGACAGCTCTTGTTGAATGGACGTTCGCTTGCCCCGAAACTGCTGGCGCGGGGACCACTACAGGTAGTGGGTTTCAATTCGGCTCCGTTATTGTTGATTGTTGTTGTAAACAATGTTATCAATAGTCTTATCAATTTTGATAACTCTTATCAATATTGATAACAATATCGATTGTGACTATCGATTTCGATTTTGACTATCGATTTCGATTTTGACTATCGATTTCGATTTTGACTCGATTTCGATTTTGATGTCTTACCGTTGCTCGAACTGGTTCGACCGATGTCGGCTTCGGGCGGCGCACCAATGCCACGCCCAAGAATTTGTTGACGCCGATGGTAATAATAGTAATAATATTATTTACGTGATTTTCAGGAATGTTCTGTAGAATGTCTGAATGTTAAAGGTCTGAAATGTCTGAGTTGATCTGGAGTGTTTGAATTTTCTGCTGCTCGTATTTGAGTACGTAGACGCAGTGCGCGATTTACTTAGCTATTTAAACACTTAAAACAAATTTTTACTTTAAGCGTAACACCGGAATCTACGGATCCCACCGCTGCCACCAAAAATGTTATGGATTTTACACACAACACAAAATAAACGTACGCACCAATTGAAAATTAAAATAATTAATGTATTTTTTATTAAAACTGGTAGTAAAAATTAAGTGTAGCTACAATCTGTTATTCGAACACTGGTAATTCTACGACTGACTGACTCCCTGTGTGTTGTCGTGACGGTGCCCCGTCTCACATCAAAAACCCTTATTCAGCGGTTCCCACGGTGGCAGCGTCTTACGACACACACTCTGCATTGTGATTGTCTATATATGTTGTTAACATATATAGATATATAAAAAATAAAATATGTACTAATCAGGGGTTCTTAACATTACTAACTATACAGTAGGTGGTCTATAATAAATAAATGTAACTTTAAGAATGAATGATTTAGATTGTCTTAAAATTATATAAAAAAAAAAAAATACAAAAAACGCTAAGACATGGATAAAGTACATTTCCATAAATTGTGAACATTTGGTAAAGTTACTGAAAATACAGTTCCCAAATGTGTAATATAACCATTTTTGCGGATAAATTATGGGTGTCTTAACGATGCCTACAGCTCATATAGGCTTTTTTTATATCATACCACGTTGTGTTTATCAAATATTATTAAAATGTAATTCAATTATTAATTGCTCCTCACCCTATTAAGCACAGTGCATTGATGCTTGGCGTGTGTACCTGCCACATTTCGTCTTTTTCCAAAGGTGGCCAATTACTCAAGTCAACATCTTCGTATTCGGAGCCCACGTTCATTACCACCAGGTAAGTTTCTGCAGACGGCAGTGACCTAGTCGAATAACAAATCGTAAAATCGTAGATAAAGTACCGTTTGCTGTTCTGTGTTCATATACTAATAATAATGGGGACGAGGTGGCCGAGTAGTCCATCGCGTCGGCTGCGGCTGGCAAGTCACGGTGTCCGGAGAACAAGTGCCGCCATCCTCCACTCCGGGGCATGGCAGAAACCTACGGGTGCCCCATTCGAAATTCTGCCAAAAATACACCCACGTGTAAACACTCACCTACCGTTAAAAAAACCTACAGTACCAACGCCCCTCCCAATGGCCTAAGTTGCCGCGGGATAATTAATAAAAAAAAATAATAATAATAATAAGAGTGCATGGATATCAAACGTATGTAAACATATTATTTGGAGATATTTCGTTATATTTTTCTGTATGTTATACTTATACAAACACAAGGGTAAGGACAAACTTAATAGTTAATAGACAGGCCATTTTCACATGTGCGGGGTCTTCAAACTTTTTGAATCATTGGGCATTATTGAGCTGCTAGCTAACACCTGTGACTGCACTGTTATTGAAGAATAAAAAATGAGAAATTAAAATATTTTCATTATTACCTAAAGTTACATTAATCAGGTATATAAACGGCTAAATGAGTAGTATCACTACCTATTAATATAGGTATAGGACTTAATTTTCTTATATTATTGAGTGTGCGTTTAAGTTTTGATTACTATTTTATTAGAACCACCACCGACGAGGCAAGGGAAAGCTAATTAATTTGTTGATATGGAAATGCATTCTCCGAGGTCTGCAGGTCGTGTATTAACTATTAAGCGTACACTGTGCACCACCATATCACCTACCTGGTAAACGCGTACACCCACTGGGACAGCTCTTTGCCGTCGAACGAACCGCGCTGCACCGTCCGGGTCTTCCGGAACTTGGCCAACCGCTTGTACACGGTGTAGTGGTTGTAGTACTGCATCCGCTGGGTCCCCAGGTTCACCATACAGTAGTTGGGGTTCACCGGTAAAAACGGTTTAGAGGATACCGTGAACCCGGCATTGGCACTGGTGTTTCACTGGTACGGCGACCTGGCAGGGTCCCTGCTCAATGTCTGGAAACCGCTGCGCCCAGCGTTCCGTCCCCTCGGGTCCACGGTCTGGTCCCAGTGGATGGCCGTGTCCGACATGCCGATCTCCTCGCCCATGTACGTGAACGCGGCGCCGGGCAACAACATGTTCAGCATGTTCATGGCGTCCACCATTTCGCCGCCAAACCGGGTGGCCACGCGCGGATTGTCTCGTGGTTTCCGATCTGCACACATAATGCGTATTAAATTGTATATTTTATTTTTGTGACGTGTAGGAATAAAAAATCATTTATTTTGTGAAAATTAGTTTTGTCAAATATAGGTAATTCGCTTTTATATCGTACAAATATTAACATTTAGACTTTAAACCAGCTTTAACCCATGATAATATCACACACATATACGTAATTATTAAAAAAAAAAACAAAATTAATTCGTCATAATATGAATTTTAATAAAAAAAAAATGTTGTGCATTATTTAATATGCTTTTTCAGTGTTCTTAAAGCTGTGAATTTCTAACTCTTCTAATATTATGCATAGTTTATAGATAAGTAGAATATTAAGTTATTTAAAATGTATATATATATATTAAATATGATAGTATTCAGAATTCAGTGTTTAAAAGTGTAACAAATATTCTATACTTGGATTCTTGTCTGTTGAGTGTTGACAATTTAAAAATAAAATGATAATATATTAGGTATGTGTAAACTAACTATATTATATAATATTATTATTACATAACTTTGTATGATTGTTGTATTTATTGTTTTTATTACAACCAGTACTATTATCTAACATATATTTAAGGTAGATAATGGGATTTGTAGAAACTACATATTATTAATAATTATATAAGTAGGTAACTTATTATTGAATAAAAATGTTGACAAACATATCTACTTTTGCTGTTTTTTTGTTTTATATTAGAAATCAAATATATATATAATATTAAATATGGTAAGCAAAATGTTTAAAATCTAAATTGATGACAATTTGGATTTAACCTATAGATATTGCAGAGAGAGAGAGATGTCTGAATTAGGGGCGTAATTAGGGGGGGAAAGATTAGGGGGATAGATCCCCCCAAAACTTTTTTTTACTGCTAACATTATTATCAAAGTCTTGATAATGACCATTCATGTTTGCTAAAACCGTATATCCCCCCCAAATTCCTAATTACGCCACTGTACTCTGAATAAAGACTAACTCGCGACGATACTTACAGCCCAGTTCGCACATTTTCCATCAGGCATATTGTCCAACAAATTATTTATCGCTTCGTTGAATTTAGTGGCGTTCGAATATTTATTAAGTCGATCGATCAATCCAAAATTAAATGGCATATGTGCTCCTAAATTGGTCTCATTACCATAATATCTCATAGTGTTTTCCAAAGAAGTGTATGCTTCAGTTATCATAACTCTATAAACACAGTGATAAAATATATTATCCAGTTATATTATGATATTTTTAATAAACAGGGCAACGACAAACATTTAAATTTTAAACTATATTCGTTCTAGGTTTTAAGAGGCCATCTCAAAAGTATAGTATTATGAATTTCTGTTATCCTCATCAACAAACTACAAAGCAAATGTGAACGATACTATTTTGTGTTATTGGGTTAAAAATGAGTGTGAAGACCTATTATCAGACTTATCTAAAAGTAATGACTAATGACAGACGTTATCTGTAAACAAGTCCGTTGATTTTTAACAATATTTAAATTTTTAAGCGATTTATGAGAATTAATTGTTTTTAATTGTCATTTTACACATAGTCATAACTCACTTAAAAATCAATACATTATAAAAAACGAATGCTCAAAGATAATATTCATACCATTAAGTTCTTAAAGTTTAATATATATATATTTTATATATATATAAATAGTTCTATATATAGGTATCTAAATATTTTATATTCAGTATTCACGTAACAACACAAAATTGGTTCGACTGAACTCAAATTTTCTAAGTTGCACGCTTAAAAGTTAGAGGCAAACACATATGGGTGATAGGTACGTCCTCTTAATGTTTCGTAAGTTTTTTATAAACAGAATAAATAATAGTAAAATTTCAAAATTTTCGAGTCATATATGCACAACATATTTTATCATATAATATCATTCGATCTAAAATAATCGGTAACGAAATTTGGTATTTCAAATTTGAGAATTTGTTAATTTGCAAAACAAATCATGAAAATTGTTTAATTTTTGTATAATACTATTTATTATTATTAATAATGAACATAATTTATGGTACCTACTTATCTGATAGATACTAAAATATACTAAATTAAAAAATTGATCCACAATGAAATGTTAAATGTCAATAGTTATATGGTTAAATACTTAGTGTGATAAAAGTATATACCTGCTTTTTCCATCTTTCAGTGTGTATTCATCTATTACGTCCCTAAACTGATTAATCATGTCATACGTTTCATCTAAATCCATTGTATTGGGGTGATAATACTGGTCATAAGTATTTTTCTCTTTTTTAGCAAGTTTTTCTGGTTTCCTGATATCGTCTAAAAAGACTGGATGCTCGAACAAAAACGGTACGGCAACTACTCTGTACCCATCTATACCAAGATCCAACCAAAACCTCAAGTTGTTCTGCACAAAAAAAAAACATTTTAATTTAATTATGAAACATAAGACATATTTGCCTTTAAGGGTTTATTATTCAAACATAAATCGAAGAAACATGATTGTGATTTGAGGGTATTTATGCTGAAATCAAAGATTTTGAAAACTATATTAAGTACTTATTTAATAATACTAACAGTAAAATGTAATTTTGATAATTTAAAAACTTACAAGCTACCTATATATGAACGATTTTGATTTAACTATAGATAATTACAAATGATGTAAAAACCGTGGAAGTAGCTCTACTGTATCTGGCCTTGTTGCTTAGTAGTATTATAAAAAAAAAAGATAATAGGTAACTGTGAAGTACAAGTGGACATTAAGTATAAACTAGTTAAAAAGTTAAAACAAAGTTAGAAATTTTTTTTATACATGCATGTAAAACCAATATAGGTATATTTATTGATCCTCTCAGAAAATAATATAAATTCAGGTGAGTACCAGCGAGTACCCATAAATATAATAATGTACGTGTATGTAAGTAGTATTAATTAAACATAAAACAAATGATTGGTCAAAACTCAAAATCAATATAAAAAGAGTAGCATTTGAGTATAAATGCTTGGAAGGCGTCATCTTATAAGTTTCTCATACAATATTAATAGGTACCTATGTGTTATCTATTGTAATTTATTATCAAACTATATAGTGTTTAATTATCTGAAAAAGGTTATTAATGCGAGTATTGTATGGGAAAATCATAGGTAACTTGATCTTCGTGGACTCCACACTTATGCTCACGTCTAAGTATATTAATTCTCTTTTTAAATCTACTTAATTTTAGATTCTGAGCGGAGCGATGAATGTATTGGTTTTACAATGATGTACAATGATTGTTTTAGGACAGTAAAAGTGCTTGGATTTTCTTCAACAGTAGCTTTTCTGATAGGAAAGTGAATCTAGTTGGTACTTTGGGGGGGGGTCAAAAGTAAAAATTTCCCAGTAGTTTTCACAAACGCCGGAAAAACAACATAAAAATTAAGGAAAAACGGGAATTTTTACGCAAAATCGGTTTTCCAAAAAATAGATTTTGGTTTTTGGTGTAACTCTAAAATAAATGAACGTATATACATGAAATTTTCACTGGTTGTTTATATTTGCATTTTATATACACGATAACAATTTCAAAATATTTTGATTTATTTTGAACTGTTTAGAGGGACATTTTCATTTTCCATCTTTTTTTAGTTTTTTTTCTAAAAATATCAATACAATTTTATTTGTTGGTTGCGAAAGCTAGAAAATCTAATAGAAGGCTCCTAATATATTGTTTCAAAGGCAGATGAAAAATATTAAAAATCCTTAGTCACATTTTTTTTTATAAGCATTTAAAGTTCAAAAACTGACAAAATATGGAAAAATCACGAAAATTAGCGAATTATTTTGAGTTAAGAATTCGTAAAAATTTTTCTTTTTAAATCTAAGATTTGAAAATGTAATACAAGATTACTCATAAGTTTGTCTACCTTTATCAATAAAAAAATCTCTACCGGAATGTCAAATTAAATTTTTATGAGCGTTTGAAATTCAAATTTTTACAACATTGGATGTTCACTCGATTTCTCATGTAGCGATTTCCTTAATTTGTTGTAATTCAAAAACGAATAACTGTAGATACATGAAAATTTCACTGAATGTTTATATTAGCATTTCCTATACACCATACAATTTTGAAAATATTTTGACTCTTTTTGAGCTGTTTATGGACATTTACAGCTTTCAATTTTTTTTAGTTTTTTTTTCTATAAATATCAATAAAGTTTTATCTGTTGGGCCAAAAAGTGTAAAAATTTAATACAAGGCTCCTGATATATTGTTACAATATCAGTTGAAAAATATTAAAAATACATATGCGCAGTTTTTTTTATAAGCATTTTAAGATCAAATTTTGACAAAATTTATCAAAATCTCGAAAATTATCAATCATTGTAATTAATAAATTATAAAATGTTCAGTTTTTATAGTTAAGGATTGCAAATTCAACACAAAGTTTCTCGTAAATAGTTCATACTGTAACCAAAAAATCTAAAGTATAGCTTTGGAGTATAGCTCGTAATTGTGCAATTCATTGAATTTGATATCATGTCAAATTTGAATGCAATGATAAATCTCCAAATTAACTTGTATTAATATAAATAAATTTATTTTATTTTAGTAATACAATAGCGTGAACTAATGATTACCGAAAACATTGCATATTAAACATTGTTTTAGTTATTATAAAAGTA